ACCGGTCTACCCTACCCCCCCCCCTCCCTCCTTCCTAACTAGTGATGATTCGGAAAATTAATGAGGTGGGGCATATTGGATGGGACTTGGAAGAGGCGTGCATATGGCAATATGAAACTGAGGGAAAACCATGTAAGACGAGAGTAAAAATAAAAAATTTAAGCTAGTCAACAAACGTTTTTGGTCTTTGACTGGGGGCCGTTCCCCAGTCCTTAAGGGATAGATCCGCCCCCCGCCTCTAACCCACCTCAAGTAGATCTTGATCGAATTCTAGTCGGATGACATCATATAATCAAAAGAACAAGCTTATGAATACCGATATTAACTAAACGAAGAACAAGCAAATGAGATGAATATATACAAGGAAATAAAACGACGGGAGAGTATATAACGAAAAAGGCGGAGTTCTTGACCATTTGGGGGGAAATATTTGTTAGGGTTTTCTTTTTGTTAACGATATGGGTCTGAATCAGTTTGTACATATCTCATGGGTCTTGGAAAACGATAAGGAAAATCTTTAATTGGCTTGACGGACTTGAACAGGTGACTCAGAGGAGGTTACCAGAGGCCCAAGTTTTATTGCCGGTTTGAGCTAACCCCACGAGGTTTAATACAATTTAGTAAGATATTTTTCGGTTACTATGCAATACACTTGCGTATTTGGTAATCATATCTCACATTCAACGTAACTTTTCCCATTTAGTCTTAGGGTCTGTTTGTTTTCTCAAAATTACCTCTTAATACCTCAAGTCTGATTCGTTCAGACGTTTGAGTATTAAGAACGTTTGTTTTATTTTCAAAATAAGAGCTTAAAAGCTCTAAATGTCCTTTAAAATTTTAAGTGGTAAACGTATCCCTTAATACCTTTTAATCATAATCCGCCTCTATCAAATGGTTCATATTTTGAGGGCTGGAAGAGATTTGTTAGCAAAAACTATCTATTTTTTATAATTTTTTCACTAGTTTGACTTATTCAAATTTCGGACTTCAGACGTAAAAACAAACAATCTTACTGATCCAGTTTTTAGGACCACCTCTTATAAATAAGAAGTGAAATCAGACTTCAGAACCTTTTAAAAAACAAACCCCACCTTATTTTCTTTTTCGTGTATGGTAGGTAAAATTTAGGGGTCGTTTACCTAACATTTACCTGGTAAGCGTCAATACTTTCAATTTAAGGTAAGATTTTAGTACATTAAAACGACATCGTATACAACAAATTTATCCGCTAAGTGCTTACCGGGTAAAAGTTGTCACTCTCATTTACCAGGTAAGACTCTCGGTCCTTGTCAAGACTCTCATCGGGTAAGATTTTTAGTCATCGTCATGTTCATCTGATAAGGTTAAATGACCCGTTAAACACTTATCGAAAATGGGTTTCACTCAAATAGCCACTCTAGGGTCATCCAATTCCAGTTACAAAATTCAATCAGAAACAGACCTAAAGATGTTTTTTTTTTTAAGTATATAATATTTATATACGGCAAATAAAACAAATAAACTCACACACCTTCCTCATCTTTGATGAGCTTTGAACCCCTGACCTCCTAAAGATGTTGATTTCTACTCAAATATATCTTAAAATGCATACAAAATTTAGGTAACAAACTGGGTAAGTGTTTACAGGTCAAATTTCACCATTCTTACCTACCTTGTCGAGTAAGATTTCCGGTCATCAAAATAGCATAGTATTAACGTCTCCTGCTCGGTAAGCATTAATCGCATAAGATTCACCATCCTTACTTACCGGTAAATTTTTCGGAAAAACCATCATCTTTGATCAGATAAGCGGTTTTTACCCGGTAATAAGCCTCGAGTGTTCAAACAGCCTCTTAGGGTTCCTAATGGACACCATTCTTCAAGCCTATGCATTTGAGCAATCTTGTCCCGAAACTCCGATCCTCTGGCTTTTCTAAATCGTTTTTCGGTTCTGAGAATCTCGCCTTTTCGCTAAGCTCTTCGTACGAGTTCAAAATATTCTGAAGCCGTGCAACAAATTCGATCAACGACGATGTGAAATTGGTCAATGATAGAGCACTCGCACTCTCGTAAGTCCGTACCTCACGATCATTAAGAATCACGTCTCCAAGAACCGAGAGTCGTGAAGGCCATTGTACCTGTTGTCTTAGTACATCTTCGGAGGAACCCCAGTTTGCAAACGAAGGATTCATCGACATGTTTGTGATATGGCGATCGATATTCTTGAAAGTATGAGATGGTTTCAAGGTGGATGTTGATGAACCCATTGTATACATGTGGGTTTCTTCTTCTTTTAGTTCTTGCAGGTGCTCGGGATCCTCGAATTCTTTCGGTCGTCTTGCGGCTGCCCATTTCTCGCTGTTCACGAGATGGTACGATTTCTGATCGATCAACATCTGTAAATCCTCTGCGGCCTCGTGCACCTTATCGAGCAGGTCAAAGTCGGGGCTCAGTCTTTCGAGCTTTTCCAACTTGTTTCCGATCTCTCGTAGTACCTTTGCACCTTCGATCCCCACTCTCTGAATCTCGTTCCTGAACAGGTATCTCAGTTCGGCTGCTGCCTATCGAAGGAGAACGCTCTTTTAAAAACCGTAAATATTTTGAAAACCAGGAGAACTAACTATTCATAAATTATTATAACGATTTTGTATCATGGGTCTCCTTTAACCAGTCAGCGTCCTAATTTCATTGTAAACAATTACCAAACAATTATATTTCATTTTCCAAAGTATATTGAGAGCCTCTTAATCATTCTGATCATTTTGCACCAAACTATTCAACAACTGACAAACAATCTCTTAATAAGTTTGACGAATTGAAATAAATATTAACCTGTATTTCTGAAAGTATGCAGCCATGCATAGCCATAACCATGAAAGCGCAGTGCCTCAATGCACCGCTAACTTTGATGAATTGAACCCATGGATATCTGAACATTCTGTAACGCCCATGAGGTGGTTCCCATATCGCAAACCCTAACTGCAACAAAATAAAGCAAGCTTTTTATTGGTCAGTAGATTTATCAACTAATTTATCAGCTAACAACTACATTTATTAGAGCATCTCTAACAGATTCTTCAAAATGAAGAATCAAAACTCAAAATCTATATTAAAAAAAAGGTTATATTCAACTCCAACAGATTCTTTATTTTAGATATTACAGCAATAATTATATTATTAAAATATTTTATTATGCATTTTGGAGAATCTGTTGGAAATACTCTAAGGGGTCGTTTACCAAACACTTACCGGTAAGAAATATCACCTTCACTTGCGTGATCAAGATGGATCGTTGGTAGGCATCTTAAACCCTGTAAGCATTTATCGGGTAAGAGTCTTTTCCCTCACTTACCGGGTAAGACTCTCGGTCATTGTTATGTATCTTACCGGGTAAGATTCTTGGTCCTTTCCATTCTCAACCGATAAGGTAAATGATATTAATAAACGCGTACCCGATAAGTGTAGTGAACGGCCCCTTAGTCAACGACTAGCTTGTCAGCTAGTTTGCCAAACATAATATAACAAAAGACCTACCAGAGTGTCTTCTTGACCGGTAGATGATATTGCGGCTCGATATCCGGTATAAAGGGGGTCGTCGGTGGCCTGGTATACAAGGATTTTCGAAGGTATCCTTTCATATTCGACGTTTTCCAGATAACTTCTAACGCAACCTATTATTCAATTCAAACAAGACGGTGGGGTTAATTAACCCGTGTTCAACCCGATTAGTAACAAGATTGTGTCGATTCAGTACTGTTAATTAATGCATACCTTCCAACGAAGAAGCAACACCCCGGAAGTTTTTTACCACCAATTTATGCAAGTCTTCTCCGGACCAAATCGGATAGATACATATATTTACAATCAAACATACGCTCGCCCCGACCGCAACTAATAATAATCGGGAAATCGCGGTTCTGTAAAAATGCGAAGTGCCCGACACCAAAACTATAGAAAACGTCAACATAAAAACCCTAAATCCGTATTCGTACGCCTTCATCGATGGATAGAGTTTCACAAAGCTTGTAATAGTACCTAAAATGCAGCATGGACACATAATAAAGATCAAATTGTAGCCTTTTGTGAAGCAAGTGATAGAAATGGTACTAATGATTCCGCTCATGACAACTGTTTTTTAAATCCATGATCTTCTGACAAGTTTATAGACGTTTTTGTATATGAAAGTGACTTTCTTGGTCAACGTTAAGGAGTGTCATTCCAAAACAGGTCAGAAAGTCATAGATTAAAAAAACCGATACAGGAATTCATTTAACCAAATGACCCATTTGCCCCCCACCATCCGGCAAAAGATCAAACTTGCCAATGATTCCTTTCCAACCAACCGTCAAAATCTGGTGATTTTTGCCGGTCTTCTAATTGAACGGCAATGATGCCATGTAAATCTTCAACCGGAAAAACCCTAGGCCCACAGTTTAATTATCATTTCCATATGGCCCGCTCGGTTTTTTTTAGTGTAATTGGAGTTGAGATGTTAACGGGCTTACTATTTTTCGTGTTTTTGATGTTCTTTTTTTCCGTCAAGGTTACAGATGCTCTTAAGGGGGTTCAAATAGCAACACCCTTACTTACCTGCTGCAAAAATGCTTACGACCACCACAACTTCGTGCCAGGCCCCGGCCCACACGGAAGCTTGAGCGACGCACAATGCAAGGATCGCGGCTGAAACCGTCCCTATGGCTCGATTAAACCCTTTGCTAAGGGTTGCTCCTAAATTTAAGAAACAAAAGTAAGTTCGAGTAAAGGAAACTATATCTACCAAGATGACACCCTTTTTGTGGCAAAAAGCAGATAACGGATAAAAAGCTGTTGTCCCAAAATCATGTCTTATCCGTGTCTTATTAATGAAATGAACAGACAATAGATTTTTATATATTTTAAATTTATTTTATTTAAATTTAAATTCAAATTCTCTTTCTGATGATATATATTTATGTGATTGGTGAATATGAATGAAACAGATGATTAATTCATTCTCCATTTTCCTATAAACCCGTTTCCTATATTTTTTTCCACCAATGAGATTGAGTTATTATTTTTTATAAAAAGTTTTTTTTAAGTGTATTGGGATGATAAATTAGAGAATATTATAATAATATATATTATGTTAAAATCTCTAAAATGACGAATCTGTTGGAGATGAATGTAATTCTTTAAAAAAATGATGTTTTGGTTGAATACACGGAGCTATTTAGCTCGATAACTCCGTCATACGCCGATTTTTCAAAATGACCCTCTAATGTAATTCGCAAAAATAATTGGGAACAAGTTCTTTTAAACCAGCAACATCATGAATATAAATCTAGTTTTTTATATAGATCAGAAGGTCATGAATTTAATTAAAAACTCATTTAAGTTCATTTACCTAAATTATACCAGTACCAAGTGCTTGCAGGCAAAAGACATCATCGTCTTCTTTACTTACTTTATCGTGTAATATTATCGGTTATCAAAATGGATTGTTGGTAAGCGTCTTAAACCAGTAAGCTCTTGCTAGATAAGCTTATTTCCCTAGATTCTTGGTCCTTGTTAGACCTTTTAACGAAGTAATTTATATTTGGTTTAATAATATAATTTTCTTATAAAGACAATAATTAATTATTTTGTTAGAACTCGATAATTATCCTAATTATATTTTAGATTTTTTATATTCTAAAATGAGATGTTTATCCTCTAATTGTTTATGTTTATCCGCAGTTAGTTATCCGAATTCAAACATGAAGCGTTAATAAGTTGTACTTATGCATAATTTACTTGTAATTTTGAATTTTAAGTAATATGCATCAATATGCATAAAAAATGGTTTTTAACAGTTTTTGTCAAATGCATTATAATATAGTATAGATATATACATGTTCACGGGACCGGTCTGTTTTTGTGAGACCCATTAGACCATTTTTTTACACATGAAAGTTGAAACTTCAAAACAAAACACTGTGAAGATAAACGCTGTAAAGTTCCAAGTTTAAAAAAGTGGTATGGCTGTCTAACGTGATCCCAAGTCATGTATGTGTGTATGTATACATATACATACAAGGTTAAGAAATTACCAATGCTGAATTCAAAGACGACGATGGCAGTGAGAATAGCCCAGATGGAATATTGACTGAAATACCTAAGGGATTCTTTGAAGAAGATGAGAGTGGAAACCAAAGCAAGTGCCAAACCCGATTTAGCAGCGAATATGATCTGTCTCGGGTCAGACCGACCCATTTCGTAAATCTGGACCATAAACACCTGAAAATCTTCCCATTTTTTGGCGATTCGATCCAGGATTGAAGCATCGGTTCCGCCATTGTTATCTGGTTCTTCGAAGAAGGCTGAACAACCCTTTCGAGATAATAATAACCTTTCTTTGCTTCTATCGAATCCATGATTGGCGGCCATTGCCATTTTAGGATTGGATGTTTATGAATTGATTATAACAGTGTGTGGATTCATGATTGTAATTGGGAATTGAAGCAGATTTGGTTGGATCAAAGAAAGGGGGAGGATGAGTGAAATCGGAATTTGGGTTTCTGATGATGAACAATCGATTGAGGTGAATTTTTACTCCACATGGCACTTTCTTCACTACCATCATCACGGGAATAAATTACAAATCGGAAATTAATTAAAATAGTCATTTTTAGAGTTTGAATTTACCTTTTACCCTTTTCTCTCTCGATATTTTAAAAATATCAGTAAATCCAAAAGTGACACATCCTCAATTATACACGTATTTGTAATCTATTTTTTATCAATATGTAACTTATTCATATATATGTTCTGTAACTGTGAACACATATATATAAATTAAGAAAATTAGTTGAATATGATATACGTAAGATTTAAGAAGTATAGATAAGTTGTATCAAATGGTTGATGATGAAAATTAAATTATGAGTAGAGAAATAACATATTCAAAATTAGAAGAATATTTTAATATACCAAAGTATCAACCCGACCAACCCGTACAGTTTGGGTTGGGTCGGGTTATACTTTGGTTTGGTTGGGTTAGGTTAAGATTTTTCAAAACGCAAGCATTGAATTACGTTGTTCAAATGTCTTCAATCCGATCAACCCAACTATGAACACCTCTAGTGGTGGTGATGGTGATGGCGACAGTGTCATGATGTATCATCATCTTATTGTGTATTTCAACGTATCATATTGGTATATTGATTCAAACTGTTGAAATCTTTTACTACAATATAACGATTATACTAAATTATGCCATGATATATCATCACCAACCGAATAAAAAACAAACAGTTTTATCATCAATTACCATTTTTTTAAGTATTATCAAAAAATAGTCAATAATTCTATGAATCAACCCCAAAAAAAATTAATTAAAAAAACTCAACAAATATTTTTTTTCCTATTTTAAAAAATTTAATATAAAATAGCCGTTGAAAATACTCTAATATATCATATTTATATGTCGCATGATATTTACGAGACAAGAGAGTATGGTATGGTCCCATTCGATGGTTGCGGTTACAAACCCTTTTGCAAAAATATGTCATACGTGGCATTTCTTTGTTAGGTTAATTTTAGGAAATGAAATAAAAAGAACCAGACATAGACATAGACATAGACATAGACATAGATTAACTAGTTAATTTTTTTTTTATTAATCATCTTGTTTAAAACCTACAGTTTCTGTTACAGATTTAAACAGCTCTTGTGGGCTCACATCAAACAGGCTACCAAAGTTATTATCTTCAGTTATGGTGGGCATAACACAGACCTCCAATGATGAACCCGAACCCGAACCCGGAACCAGAAACCGTAGTTGAAGATGGTCATCCCAGATATTATATGTAAACCGATCCTCACTCCTTGAACCCTCCTCGGGTTTAACCGCTTTCCGTTCAGCTCCAGGAGCCCTGGCTCGCGGGCCAATGGTTTTGGCTGGGGCCAAAGGTTTATCTTGGGGAGGAAGAGCCACGCTATTCTTGAACGGGCTTCTGACCCGAACGTTAGGGGATAACTCTGGTGATCTTTTTGGTGTCGAAGATGAGGCCGGGGATAAAGGTGATGAAGGTGTCGAGTTGCTACTTTGGCTACTCAACACTTCAAATTGGCCCGTTAATCCCGAACCCGAACCTCTTTTCTTCTTTCTACGTCTTGCTTTCTCTTTTCCTGTTTTAACTGTAAGATTCTCCGGTTTTGATGCCTCGACCACCATCGATTTCGCCAACGATGACGACGACAATGATGATGATGTCACTTCCTTCCCGGTTTCTGGTTCTGGTTTTGGGCAAACATCCGAAGAATGTTCTTCGGATTTGGACAAATTTTCGTCCCTGATTGTGAACGAGAACGAACAAGAACTTGCCATGGAAATCAGAAGGATGGAAACAAGAATTGCAAGAAAGAATTTCTTGAATCTTGTCCAAATAAGTGATTGTTTGCATATCCTGAGCATCGGTGTAGAAAGACTGACTTCCATGGGCACGATCAGCATGCCACCAGCCATAACGAGCTCAAGTTCCCTACGTACGATTGCTGCACAAAAATCCGCCCGATATGATATAACAAGCTTTCGTAATTCCCCGGGCTGCAAACTGAAACCGTCACAACTGTCCACCAAAAACCCATCTGACCCACACTTTGTACCCGAGACCGAAATTCTATTGACTTCTAGTGGCAAATCTCCGGTGTTCTTCGCGAACACAACTTTCATCATTCGGTTAATCGAGCTTGGTAAGTTGTGTTTGAGCTTTATGTTACGAACAGGATCAGACCCATCTAGTAAAAGCAGGGAAAGCAAACCTCCAGAGCCACGCAAGGATAACCACTCGACGCCAGAAAGATTGTTTCTTATGAGAACCGAACTTCTCCACGCACAACGGCTCGAAGGGCAAAAGACGATCGGTCCAAGAACGGCTTTTCCGTGAGGATGAACGTAGGCCTCGGTTACTGCATTTCCTGCTACAGAGAACCCGTATCTTGAAGGAGTCGTATAACCGTTAAGAACCAAAGTATAAGATGAAGGGGGCTGCAAAACTTCATCCGATCCTCGGCATTCGTCGATGATTTCTCCTGAATTTAACAGCAGCTGCATAACAACCGGTTGGTCACTTGGGTTCAAGACACTGATCCACTTAGACTGATGAGAACCAACATGAACCAGTGGGAATATGATCTCGTCATCATCGAGCACAGACATTCCATTTTCGGTCCCTTGAGATTGCCAGTTTCCTAGTACCGGTTCATCAGCTTTTGTCATTTCTGTTGCCTTCAAAAAGTAGATACAAATTAAAATCATAGCAAATGGCTCATTCAGCGGCTACTTAAAAATGCCGTTTTCTTGCAAAGTGCATATTTCGACCCCTTTCCTCTACACTAAACACGATGACCGAGAGAATGTATATAACGGTTATAATACTTGGAAATTTTAGTGATTGGGATGCAAGTACATCAAGTGGGATCTTAGGGCATGTTTGTTTGCAGCTTAATGGGACTCGGAGCTTATTCAGTCTCTATACATGATTGTTCGTTAATGGCTTAAGGATATAGAAAGTGGCTTATTCAGTAAGCTTCTAGGGGGAGCTTTATGCAGAAAGTCATTTTTTTCAAACTTGTCCCTCCCAACTAAAAAACACGCTTCTCTCATTTATGGAAAAACCCTCCAAAACAAGAACCTTCACAATCTATACAAACAGATTAATCCACACAGACAACTTTATCCATACAAGACTTTAATGGAATACCAACCAAACAACCCCTTAGTGCCATCCATACTGAAATAAAACCAAACGAGCCCAGAATATCCCACCCAAAGGTGGGGTATGGGTACTTATGCATTTAGTATATGGGACAGTACAGGGCAGGACAATCAAAAAGAAACTTGTCCAACGTTTGGTGTGACAATTAGTTGGGGACTAGAAAAGACTCATTTTTTTGTCCCATTAAAACAAGGAGACAAGACAAGTTTGGTAAATTACTAAACTACTCATGTCAGATTAAAACCCTAAAACCATCCACAATTCTTTCACCGGCCTACCTTATTTTCACCCCGTTAGCATACCAAACACACCCTCAAGCAACAAAGGAAAAAACATCGTATGATGCATGAATTCATGATCGGCCATTCCATTTGTGCTTTCAGCAAGTAGGCGAAAGCTTATACTGTTGAAACTAAAAATAGAAACATACATAACTTCACCAATGATTGAAATAAGAATAAGATCAACAACAGCAACAAGCTTTTAATCCGAAAATAGTTAGGGTACACTAAAATTAAACCAAGATTATAATGAGAAGCATGGATAGAAATTACAATACCTTGATTTCAATCGGTGATTGTACATGGACGTTATTGGACCTTGTTTCTAAATTGTCATAATTTAACGCTCCATTGTCATGTCCATGTCCAGCATAAGAATGTGACCGTGAACAAAGACTAGCAATGTCACTGCAAGAAATCTCAAGCGCAGGACCATCTGATTTGTTCGTTTCCACAACTAATTTACAGTTCAAATTCACGTGTGAATCTGGAGTAAAAGTGACCATAGCCACTTGTGTCACACTATGAGGAAACAGCATTAGCCCTTCAACATATTTAATCTGTAAAGATTCCGAGTTTTCACCGACTGCACGAATCTTGACAACCGTCAGCAGGCCAGGGCCATTATTACGCAGCAAAAGAGAGACAGTGGTTGTTCCATTGGCATCACAAGGGATTAGAACACCAAGGGAAATTGAAAGAGTTTTGAGATCATAAAACCCTGACTTCCCTCCAATTTCTGCTTCAAGAATGATTGCATCCAAGTTATCTCTTGAACCATTCAATAATTGACCACAAAAAGAAGCAAATATGTTTGCTTGAGAACGATCCGGGAATTCCAACTCTAAGATGGGCTCATTGCTGTTCGACCCAACAGTCCATGTCTTCTGTGGCCTTATTGCCATCACCGGTTGACCAATTTCGCCAATTTTGACATTTAACCACTCTTTAACACTGAACTCAGACGAACCCTTGTGATCTATCTGGCTGCAATTCGCTTTAACGGAATATGCAATGCTCCCAGAAGAAAACGATATCCAAGCAATAACCTCTTTCAAATGCAGCACTTTATCAGAAGGATTGAACAGGGAAACAATATTGCTCCACTTTCCATTGGAAGAATAGTTTAAACCAACTGAAGACCGTATCACATAAGGGGACTCAACTGCAAAACCCTGGGCCTGAATCAAGAACCCACCTAAGCTTGTTTGTAATATCAAGTGAGCTGAAGAAAAGCCTAACGATTTGGGCAAAAACACGAAACATATAGAAGCAACTTCACCAGGTCCCAGCTTAATTTCACTGTAATTGCAAGGATAGAATTGGGCATCAGTACTGTATGGCTCAAAGATATTTAAAACACTATGATTATGTCTGTTTTCCACAGTCAGAAAAGCTAACGAAGGAAAATGTAAATACTTCTGTCCCCAATCAAGTAATGGATGGCTAACTTGTACACGGAGTGACGAAAAATCATCCATATGACTAGATTTGATTCTAACAGACTCCTGTTTCTGGTTAACTCCCGAAGTTTTCCAATCAAGCGAAGATCTTTTACAAGATGGTGTGTCATTTTGGTCACTGTTATCAATCTCTTTCAATTCAAGTGAGCAAGACACAACACTCCCACTTAATAACCGAAAGTTACCACTATCTGATGACCAACTGAGGTTATTCTTTGCTTCCGTTGACCCTAAATTTACTGTTTCATCTGCTTTAACCTCAGAAAAACCTGAAACATTCGCTTCTGAACTACGGTAATCAGCAAAGAAACCAGATAACGTTGAAGGAAAACAGAACAAGTCCGAGCGTTTACAGATATTTTCAAGATTTAGTTTCGGGATTGAACTTTGGGGAGCAGTTCTCTTTCTACCGTCACCAATTAGTACATCCTCTGAACCCGAATTCAAGTCATTTCTGTAAGAACCATACTCATCATAGCCCACTGGATTATGGGTCCCAGTCATGGTACAGGGTCCAAATGCAGAAAGGCAGAAAAGAGCACATAATGCAACAACCTTCAAATGCAATGCTTCAACATCATGGCAATACCCCCTGGAGAAAACCACAAGTGAACTAAATAGCATAAGTAATAAACAAAATGACTTCTGATTCTTGATATCTTACTCTGCAACTTGAAGAAAGATTGAAGTCATTATGTGAAGATTTTGATGACCAAATACACATTCTTGAAGAAGCTACAAATAGAAAAAATGGTGGTGTTGGATTTGGAACATAAATTACCAAATCTGATTACTAATATCAAAATGGCCCTCCTATTTTTGGAATGGATATTGATACTGCTTAATACCTAATAACTTCCACAAGATGATGATTAAACAGTTAAGAGAAGTAACAGTGATCAAGTAGGGAAATCAAGAACTCCTGTTTTTGTGGAAGCTCCAAACAAAATCTCCATCAACTGTTCTACAATTACGAACTCAATAACTAAAACGAAAAAACCCCAAATTCTATCGACTTCAAAAGTAAGTAAAACACAGTACAACCGCCGATGATCATCAGACAACGGCATAAGCTTCAGTTCAACAAACTCCACTACTTCAAGAAATTAATAAAACAAAGCCAAAAACGAGAACTCAAAAGAAAAACATATATTGATCATGAAAAAGAAGAACACAGAAACGATGGAGTTACCGATGGTAGAACATGGCGGCAAGCTCTGTACTCTTGAACTGCTGACGATCAAAAAGTTGTGCGTTAGGTTTTTCAACAGATTAATCTTGGGTAAAGGAAACGAAACGAAACATCTGATGGAGTTTTTGCTAGGGTTTTTGAAGCTTCTTTTCTCCTTATTGGAAATAGGCTTAGAAAAGAAGCACAACTCAAGAACACACACACATACACCCCCCCTTTTCACACACACTGATAAACAGCCAATGGATGGCCTCGAAGAACGAACGAGAAAATTTAGAAAAAAGATGACGGACAAAATTGCCTTTTTTGTCAAATTACGTAACTACCCTTGGGTAACGCTTAGGGTTTAACGACGCCGTAACAGTTAGGTTTGTTATAGTGATTAATGAACAATTAGGACAGGGTGGACGTGTGAAGACGTGGGGGGTAAATTAGGTATTACTTAGGGTTGGCAAAATTGAAAATATTAGTTTATTAAATCCACTCAAATTATTCATTAATTTGCATATTTAATTTAATTAATTTGATAATTGTTTTCTTATTACATCTTCAACAGTTATATTATTTTAAAGTATCTCCAACAGTTTTTTTATAATTGTTTATAAAATATATAACCAAAATTTAAAAAAATTAAAATGAATTACATTCAACTCCAACAGATTCTCTATTTTAGAATTTTTAACAGAAATTATATTTATTATGTTATAATACTCTATAATTTATCATTCTAATACATTTTTTTCTAAAAAATTTATATAAAATAATACTGCTTTATTTTATTTTTTTGATCTTTGTCGATGTTATAATGCACTTTATGTGGTTTTAAATAAGCAATAATGTTTTTTTTAATAAAATATAAATTCGAAGAAATTTAAAAAAATATAAATCTTTTTATGTAATTTCTTTAAAATTCAATTTTTTTACTATAATTTAATTTAGGATTAATAACGAAATAATTATTTTTGGGTTAATAATATAATTTTTTTGTAAAGATAATAACTAAGTATTCTGTTGGAACTCAATAATTATCTTAATTGTATTTTAGATTTTATATTTAAAATAAGAATTTTGAAATATATTTGATTATATTTATCCACATTTAGTTACATGAATTCAAACATGAAGCTTAATAAGTTGTACTTACATTTAATTTACTTGTAATCTTGAACTTTAAATAATATGCATCAATAAACAATATTTCATCTATAAAAGATGGTTTAAAAAAAGCATTGATCTACAAAATGGTTAATTTGGGTTTGGTTTGGTGATAATTTCTATTCATATTTTTAACAAAATTCAAAATAAATAAGAAATGGTCTCGTCAAACACGTACGATACTTTACTAAGTTTTCAATTATCTTAGTTGACTTTATTTTTGTCATTTACATATGTTTAGATGTAGACAACCTTCTTAATTGGTTCAAGAAGTACATTGTATAAGGGTTTTAAGGAGCCGTTTACTAAACACTTACCCGATAAGGACTTATCAGGTAATTTTCCTCACGTGATTGACATGGCAAGGGCCAAAAATCTTACACAGTAAGAGCGATGATAAGGTGAAATATCAGTATATCACTCTATAAAAAGAGGACTTTAACAGCAAAACATATATCGAGTATAAAACGAACACGAATTGTCCTAGAGTATCTACTGGTGCTAGACATACATAGATTGTGTCTAGTTGTCAAGTTCCTAAAACTACAGACATTAACTTTGATACCGTATAAAATGTAACACTTCCAAAGTCCAAAGCAACAGACTAGCCCAATAACCTCGAATCCAACTTAAAACCATTGTGAAAGTTATTGGCAGCCCACAATTTGGGATTTATAATAAGCTAACAATTCTCACTTTTTATCCATGTAGGACGAGTTGTTATATAAAACATATAAAAAAATTTAATTTTTTTTTAAAATTAATTGAAGATAGAAACAACTAACATATATGGATAAAAGTAATTATGCAAACCTAATGGATGTGGTATTCCAAAAATATATTAAGCCAAAAACATATATAAATTACAAAAGAAATTGGTAACAAAGTAATTAATAAATGAGTGAATTACAAATTTAGTCCTTATGGTTTGTCAAAAATAACGGTTTTCGTATTTACAGTTTCAAAGTTATAAGATGACCGTTATGGTTTATAAAAACGTCTGGATTTGATCTCTCATTCTAATGATCGTTAAAAAATCCTGATAAATGAAAAGCATTTCATCTATTGATTTTTTTATTAACCTGGATATCTAACCCGTTATGCGAGCCAACTACTCCCAGGACGACCACCCGTTTCGTGGGTAGCACGGAGTCACTGCATTTGAACCTCCGTAACCACAATGGGGTTTTTATTTCTCATTGGATTTGAACTTGGGACCTCCAGATGCTTTTAACCTTTGAAACTCAATCTCAAACCAATTTGGCACCACCCTTGTGGTTATCTGTCGATTTTTATCATTCACGCAATCAAAAACCATAAAGACCAAACCATAAAATCAATTTTAATTGGTTAAAAGACAAAAACAAATCAATAAGAAAACGAATATGCTTCTCATTTAACATAATTTTTAACAGTGGTTAAACTATAAACCAAATCTAGACGTTTTTACAAAATATGATTACCATCTTGTAATTTTAAAACTATAAAAACAAAAGGTGTTATTTTTGATAAACCACATCGACCAAAATTGTAGTTTACTCTCTCTCTCTCTCTCTCTCTCTATATATATATATATATATTTAGTCAAATGCTTTATAATATAGTATAGATATATAAGAGGTTTACCTTGTAAACCAAATTATTTGTTCAAACCGTACAAACCTCATTCAACCAATCATAATTTTTTATTTTGCTCATTTTTTTGTAATTATGAGAGGTTGATTAATCATTTTTATTGTGAATGATGTTAATCATGGATATTATTATCTTCGTTATTTTAATTTTAGAGAAATACATGAAACAGTTTCATTAAAATTTCATTAAGTATTGTATGAAATAATCTCATAACCATATATGAAACAACCTCATCAAAAAAGTATTATATTAAACAATTTCACAAGATTAAACAATTTCATGAAAAAAAATTCATAAGATTAAACAATAAAATCGACAGATGAAGATGATTTACACAGTTTGTACAAATTGAATGGTTTACATTTGATCATCCATATATATATATATATATATATATATATATAT